ATTATTTTACTCCATTATTTTATTACATTTATTATTTTGCTCTCTACTATTATTATATTTTTATATTATATTATTGTAATGTTGTAAAGGGGAACTCGTTGCATTTCTTGTTGTTTTCGGTCATCTTCTGTTGCCTTTTTCTTTAAAATGGACACAATCACATAGGCTTGATTAAGATCATACCATAGAATCAGAAAAATCCTGTTTGTAATCTCTGGAAAGGAGTTAAAATGAGAGGGGAAGGAAAAAAGAAGTCATAATGTTAGGAAATCCTACATTCCAACCTGAGACACAGGCTGGTTTCTGGGGTTAGAAAAGCTGAAAGGAGAAAATAAGGGTTTTGGCAGAAAGTCTAATTTCCCTCTTGTCGTTGCAGATAATCCTCAAAAGCGGGCAAAGGATTGAAATGCTACCTTGTACTCCTTGCTCCCATTTCCGGTTCTAATCCGTTAAAAGTCCAAAATGCTCCAGATTAGAGAGCTGGGCCAAAACGAACAAAATACATTTTTGTTGGGGAATCTCAGCTGTTAGGTTCAAAAACAACCCTCAGTTGGGGTGATTCCACCATAAATATAGCAGAGTTTTCAGAAGTAAACTTCATAACCAGCAGAAACTTACATATGAATTTCAATGGAGAGAAATTACACTTCTATCTATATAAATAAAAATGTTCTGTTCGTTTGTGGGATTAATATAACTCAAAAACCACTGGACAAACTGACACGAAATTTGGACACTATACCTCTAACAGACCAACGAGTGACCATCACTCATAAACTCCCTCCAAAACAACGAAAAGGGCTTTAAAAACCCCAAAAGCTAAATGATAATACAGAAAAAAGGGAAGGAAGAGGGAGGGAAAGAAGGGGAGAAAGAAAGAGGGAAGGAAAGAGAGAAGGAAGGAAAGAGGTAGAGAAGGAAGAAAGGAGAAAAAGGGGAAGGAAGGAAAGAGGTAGAGAAAGAAGAGGAAGGAAAGAAAAAAGGGAAGGAAGGAGGGAAAGAAGGAGATAAAGAGGGAGGGAAGGAAAGAGGATGCAAGCAAAAAACGAAGAAAGGAATAAATGAGAGAAAAAAAGAGATAAAGAAAAAGGGGGGAAAGAAGGAAAGGTAGAGAAGGAAGGAGAGAAGGAAAGAAAAAAGGGAAGGAAGGAGGGAAAGAGGGAGGAAAGGAAAGAGAGGATGGAAGCAAAACACGAAGGAAGGAAGAAATGAGAGAAAAAAGAGATAAAGAAAAAGGGGGGAAAGAAGGAAGGAAGGAGAGAAGGAAAGAAAAAGGGAAGGAAGGAGGGAAAGAAAATGAAAATGAAGGAAGGAAGAAATGAGAGAAAAAGATAAAGAAAAAGGGGGGAAGGAAGGAGAGAAGGATAGAAAAAGAAGGAAAGAGGGAGCGAAGGAAGGAAAGAAGGAAAGAGAGAGGGACGGTTGGCAACAGCAACGCATGGCGGGTACAGCTAGTAGGAAATAAAAATGAAATACACCAATATTTTCAAGCCAGGTGCTACTTGAAAATAATAGAGATTTGGGTAAAGGTTTTCCCAGTTGTGTCCGACTCTGGGGCTTGGTGCTCATCTCCATTTCTAAACCGAAGAGCCGGTGTTGTCCATAGACACCTCCAAGGTCCATGTAGCTGGCATGGCTGCATGAAGCGCCCTTACCTTCCTGCCGAAGCAGTACCTATTGATCTACTCATATTTGCATTTTCGAGCTGCTAGGTTGGCAGAAGCTGGGGCTGACAGCGGGAGCTCGTGCTGCTCCCCGGATTTGAACCTGTGACCTTTCGGTCAACAAGTTCAACAGCTCAGCGGTTTAACCCAATGCGTGACTGGGGGCTCCTGAAAATATATCTGAAGGGATTTGGGGGGTTTCAGTAGATTATAAATAAATATTATTTATTTATAATAAGAAATATTATTATATAATAAATTATAAAGCTGACCATGAGGAAACAATATGATGCAGCAGCTCAAAAAGCCAATCCGATTCTAGAATGCATCAATAGGAGTATAGTTAGATCAAGAAAGATATAGCCTCATAGAGTTGGAAGAGACCTTGTGGACCATCTAATCCAGCCTCTGTTTAAAAGCCTCCATAGAAGGAGCCTCCACCACCACACCCTATTATGCTTTGCTCGGGCCTCTTTACTTACTTAGGCGATCCCTCGTAGTCCGAGGATGATGGTCCTCCAAGTTCGGTGTCCTGGCGCTGGGTCCGTAGGTGACTGTGGAGCCCTATTCTTGGTCTGCATCTTCTCCCGCAGTGAGGGCGTTGGCTTCCAGGTGGAAGGCAGTCTCGGTCGGGGTTAGCTTGACGTGCCTTCTTCCTCTTGGCACGTTTCTCTCTTTCACCCTCCATTCGTGCCTCTTCAAATTCTGCAGCACTGCTGGTCACAGCTGACCTCCAGCTGGAGGGCTCAATAAGGCTCAGACCTCATCTAGTGAGGGAAACATAGTTTTAAAAAGGGATTTTCATGCATACTTCCAATGCTTGAAAATCCTATGTGCCTGCTTTTGCAGAGGGCCTTTGTTTACAAAAATGCTGATGTGTAGAGAAAGAGTTGCCAAGGATGCATTGACCAGAGATGGACATATAGTACTCTCCAATACTCCCTTAATTTCCCAGCCGCTTGAAATACCAACCTATAGATACTTTACAACTGAGTGTTCGTGGCTGGAGAACAATTTACTTTTTAGAATCGGTGCTCGAACAACCAAAGAAACCAAGACATCAAGGGAAAAAATATTTTGTTGGGCTGTGTTGTATTTTCTTGCATGGCGAGGGGTGGCCCTTGTGATGTCTTCCAACTCTGTGATTCTGTGTTTCCTTTCCTTGTGCCGGGTGTTAGCACAGCTGGTAATTCGCCAGCAACAATAAGATCTACCAACTGAAAGGTTGCCAGTTCAAAGCCCCAGGTCAGCGTGAGCACCCGATTGTCTGCCCAGCTCACAGTTTACCTAAACAGCTTGAAAACAGCTTAGAGTTCTAAGTTGAGAAATCAGGTACCACTCAAAAGCAAAGGAGGTATTTTACGACACCATAAAAGAACAAAAGGAAGGAGGAAGTCCAGATGGCTCTTTGTCATAGAGGATGGAGCACCAACACCCCCCTGTGGCTGGAATCGTTCACAACATCCAAGGCGCCAAAAAGCTGGATGTCGACTCAACACAACATATCTCCTTTTTGTCTGTTTCTGTCCTGTCTGTCCAAACGGCATTGAATGTTTGCCCTGCATGTGTACTGTGATCCACCCTGAGTCCCCTTGGGGGAGATTGTTGTTTGTTCGTTAAGTCGCTTCCGACTCTTTGTGACCTCGTGGACCATCCCATGCCAGAGCTCCCTGTCGGCCATGGCCACCCCCAGCTCCTTCAGAGTGAAGCCAGTCACTTCAAGGATACCGTCCAATCATCTTGCCTTTGGTCGACCCCTCTTCCTTTTTCCTTCCATTTTCCCCAGCATCATTGTCTTCTCTAAGCTTTTCTGTCTTCACTTTATGTGGTCAAAGTACTTCATCTTTTCCTCTAATATCCTTCCCTCCAGTGAGTAGTCGGGCTTTATTTCCTGGACTGGTTGGATCTTCTCATGGTCCAAGGCACTCTACTCTTCACTATTTTATTGAGATTGGTCATTGCTCTCCTCCCAAGAAGAAAAATGCAGTCTGCATTTGCAGTAATCTTTGCACCTAGAAATACAAAGTCTGCCTCCATGTTTTCTCCCTCTATTTGCCAGTTATCAATCAATCTGGTTGTCATCATCTTGGTTGTTTTGATGTTTAACTGCACTTTCTTCTTTCACCTTGGTTAGAAGGCTCCTCAGCTCCCCCTCGCTTTTGGCATCAAAGTGGTATTATCTGCATATCTAAGGTTGTTAATGTTTCTTCCAGCAATTTTAACCCCAGCCTTGCATTTGTCAAGCCCTGCACATCGCATGATGTGTTCTGCATACAAGTTGAATAGATCGTAGAGTATGGAGCGACAGCACCCCGTGGCTGGATTCGAGCACAACCTCCAAGACGCCAAAAAGCTGGACGTCGACACAACATACCTCCTTTCTGTCTGTTTCTGTCCTGTCTGTCCAAACAGCATTGAATGTTTGTTGTGTATGTGTTCTGTGATCCGCCCTGAGTCCCATTGGGTAAGATAAGGCAGAATATAAATAAAGTGTTGTTGTCATTATTGGAGTAGGCCTGAAGGTGCCACTGTCTGCCTAGATCAGTGTTTCTCAACCTGGGGGTCAGGACCCCTGGGGGGGTCGCAAGGGGGTGTCAGAGGGGTCGCCAAAGACAATTAGAAAACACAGTATTTTCTGTTGGTCATGGGGGTTCCGTGTAGGAAGTTTTGCCCAATTCTATCATTGGTGGAGTTCAGAATGCTCTTTGATTATAGGTGAACTATAAATTCCAGCCACTACAACTTCCAAATGTCAGGGTCTATCTTCCCCAAACCGCACCCGTGTCCACATTTGGGCATATTGAGTATTCATGCCAAGCTTGGTCCAGATGCATCAATGTTCTCTGGATGTGGGTAAACTACAACTCCAAAACCCAAGGTCAATGCCCACCAAATACTTCTAGTATTTTCTGTTGGTCATGGGAGCTCTGTGTCCAAAGTTTGGTTCAGAATGCTCTTTGATATTGTAAGTGAACTATAAATCCCAGAAACTACAGCTCCCAAATGATAAAATCAATCCTCCCCTCAATCCCACCAGTATTCAAATTTGGGTATTTGTGCCAAATGAATGAAAATGCATCTTGCACATCGGATATTTACAAGCTGATTCATAACAGGAGCAAAATTATAGTTGTGAAGTAGCAATGAAAATAATGTTATGGTTGGGGGTCATCACAACATAAGGAACTGTATTAAGGGGTCACGGCATTAGGAAGGTTGAGAACCACTGGTCTAGGTCAAGTAAACTTTGGCCCTCCAGGTGTTTTGGACTTCAACCCCCACAATTCCTAACATCCGGTAGTCATTCTTCCCTTGCATCTGTTTCTTTTGCTCTAGGATGTCCACCGTCCCGCCTCCCCTCTCCTATGTGACCGCGCAGGAGATGCGCTGCCTCCTGCACTGGCTCTCCGGCTGGTCCCCGGCGCAGCGCGAGTGCTTCATCCGCGACATGGCGGACAAGGCCGTGCCCTGGAAGGTGCTCCCGCTCCTGGAAGGCCTGGCCGGGCTCAGCATGGACCCCGGGAAGCCTCCCTCCATCTTCGAGTGCCAGATGCGCCTCTGGGACCAATGGTTCCGCGGCTGGACGCAGGAGGAGCGCAACGAGTTCGTGAGGCAGTTGGAGGAGGTCCTGCCAGAGGTGGCTTCGCGCATGTTCCAGGAGATCGCGGCGACGGCGGGGAAGGATTAATGGGAGCCGCATTCTGCAAATATTTTGCATTGAGGACTCTTTTTTTTTTAATTTGCATTCCTGCAGAGATGTGTTTTGAACTTCCCACCTCCCATTCCTTGAATCATAACACAACTTGAATAAAGATTGAATTAGTAAAGAGCCAAGGATTGTCGTGCAAAGGGCTGGATGGCCCACGAGGAAAACTACAACATATTAACTAAATCAGGCATTGGCAAACTTGGGCCCTCCAGGTGTTTTGGACTTCAACTCCCACAATTCCTAACAGCCGGTAGGCTGTTAGGAATTGTGGGAGTTGAAGTCCAAAACACCTGGAGGGCCCAAGTTTGCCAATGCCTAATCTAAACACATTTTCAATAGTTTTCTACTGAATTTGCCTTCCCACACAATGGGTTAAACCCTTGTGCCGACAGGACTGAAGACCAACAGGTCAGAGGTTTGAATCTGTGGAGAGAGCGGGTGAGCTCCCTCTGTCAGCTCCAGCTCCCCATGCGGGGACATGAGAGAAGCCTCCCACAGGATGGTAAAACATCAAAGCGTCCGCTGGGGCAATGTCCTTGCAGACAGCCAATTCTCTCACACCAGAAGCGACTTGCAGTTTCTCAAGTCGCTCCTGACACACAAAATGGATGCAATCAATGAAGCCACACACTCCCTCTATATATACATATGTGTGTGTGTGTGTGTGTGTGTGTAATGTTCGTTTGTGGGATTAACATAACTCAAAAACCACTGTACGAATTGACACAAAATTTGGACACAAGACACCTACTAGACCAACAAGTGACCATCACTAAAAAAAAACCCACTGAAAAACCAGCCAAAAAAGCAAAAAGACACTTCAGTGCATGTGCAAAATCCACTGCCCCGGCAAACAAAACACACAAAAGCATATCCACACTTTTTCGGACTACAGCTCCCAGCATCCCCTAGACCAGGCCCTGTAGCACTACTTCCAAGCTGCAAGCTTCTTGGGCTTGTTTGAGAGCATCGCAATCCCTGCATATTCCCAATTTCCTATTCCTGGACGGCAACTCCCAGCAATCCTCCAGATAGATAGATAGATAGATAAGGTAGGTAGGTAGGTAGGTGGGTAGGTAGATGATCAGGTAGATGGGAGTAGGTAGATGGGAGTTGCAGTCCAAGAATAGGTAGAGAAGGAAGAAAGGGGAGAAAGAGGAAGGGAAAGAAAAGGGGGGGGGAAGGTGAGAAGAAGAGAAGGAAGGAAGGAGAGAAAGAAAGGGAAGGAAGGAAAGAGGGAGGATAGGAAGGAGAGAAAGAAAGAACAAAGGAGGGAAGGTTGGCCAAAGCAAAACGTGGTGGGTACAGCTTTGTGTGTGTGTGTGTATGTATGTATATGTGTGTGTGTATATATATATATATATATGTAATGGTTTCCCCCTGACATTAAGTTCAGTTGTGTCCGACTCTGGGGGTTGGTGCTCATCATCTCTATTTCTAAGCTGAAGAGCCGGCGTTGTCTGTAGACACCTCCAAGGTCATGTGGCCGGCATGACTGCATGGAGCGCCGTTACCTTCCGGCTGGAGCGGTGCCTATTGATCTACTCACATTTGCATGTTTTCAAACTCCTAGGTTGGCAGAAACTGGGCCTAACAGCAGGAGATCACCTCGCTCCCCAGATTTGAACCGCTGACCTTTTGGTCAGCAAGGTCAGCAGCTCACTGGTTTAACCCACTGTGCCCCCGGGGGCTCCAAAATAAACAAAACAAGAGATTAAATAAATGAGTCCCGTTTTGGGAGAAAATCAGGAAATAAATAAATAAAGGACACAAGTTTAAAATTCATGCTTAAAAACTAAATAAATAAAATTTATGTAATATTAACGAGATACATGAATTAGCCGGCTCTTTGGCTTAGAAATGGAGCACCAACTCCCAGAGTCGGACATGACGGGACCATATGTTAGGGTGCTCCTTGCAGTCATGCTGGCCACATCACCTTGGAAGTGTCTACGGACCACGCCGGCTCTTCGGCTTAGAAATGGAGATGAGCACCAACTCCCAGAGTCAGACACGACTGGACTTAATGTCAGGGGACAACCTTACCTTTTATATCTTCATATGCCCTTCTGATGCCCTTCATGTATGTTAGACTGCAACTCCTAGTATCCTCTGTGTGGGACATAAGCTAGCTAGGGAATACTGAGAGTTGTGAACCACATCTGGAATAGGCCAGGTTGGGTGAGCCTTTTTTTTCCCATTCCACGTGAAATCAGACTGGTGTTTTCCCCACTCTGGCATGCCCTGTTTGTGTCCATTGGCTACAGCGGATTGTTTCTGATGCTGCTCTGGATCAACAGCATGAGTATGATCTAAATCCCGTATAGTACAAGATGTTTTTCTTACCAGACTGTCCTAATGCAACGTTGGTCTGCTGCAGACAGTGCCTCTGTTTACATTGCCTTTTGCGCTGCTCAGACGGGAGGAGAGACCTCTTGTTTGCCCAGCTCAAGGCCTTTGTCTGCATATCGGTTGGAGCCACCATCAATCTTCCCAAGGGTGAGATAAGAGAGAAGGAACAAACAGCACAGCAGACTGCTTCAAAACAAGATTGTTGTTGACAAAGGACCTTGGGGGCGAACTTCTTGATTTCCTGGAGGAGACGGCAAGGGGGTTGCTGAGTTTCCCTGGAGCCGGGTCCATATCTCTTTGCCTAACACCCCCTTCTAGGTATGCCTCCGGAGAAATAATAAATCCTTTCTTGTCACAAGGGTGGAGGTGGACAGGCAGAGAAGGTTACCAGAGTTGAAATGGGAGGTGGGCTCTGTATTTTAATGGTGTGGAACAGGCATGGGAAAACTTGGCCCCTCCAGGTGTTTTGGACTTCAATTCCCACCATTCCTAACAGCCTCAGGCTCCTTCCTCTATTCTGCCTTGGCTAGACCACACCTGGAATAGTGTGTCCAATTCTGGGCACCACAATTTAAGTGAGATATCGACAAGCTGGAATGTGTTTAGAGGAGGGCGACTCAAATGAATCAAGGGTCTGGAGAACAAGCCCTATGAGGAGCGGCTTAAGGAGCTGGGCATGTTTAGCCTGAAGAAGAGAAGGCTGAGAGGAGACATGATAGCCATGTATAAATATGTGAGAGGGAGCCACAGGGAGGAGGGAGCAAGCTTGTAGGACAAGGAAACAATGGCTTCAAACTACAAGAAAGGAGATTCCATCTGAACATTAGGAAGAACTTCCTGACTGTGAGAGCCGTTCAGCAGTGGAACTCTCTGCCCTGGAGTGTGGTGGAGGCTCCTTCTTTGGAAGCCTTTAAACAGAGGCTGGATGGCCATCTGTCAGGGGTGCTTTGAATGCAATATTCCTTCTGCTTGGCAGGGGGTTGGACTAGATGGCCCATGAGGTCTCTTCCAACTCTAGGACTCTATGATTCTATGATAGCCATGTCTAAATATGTGAGAGAAAGGCCAAAGGGATGAGGGATCAAGCTTGTTTTCTGCTTCCTGGTCCCTGGAGACTAGGACAATGGCTTCAAACTACAAGAAAGGAGATTCCTTCTGAATATGAGGAAGAACTTCCTGACTGTGAGAGCCGTTCAGCAGTGGAACTCTCTGCAGCGAGTGTGGTGGAGGCTCCCTCTTTGGAAGCTTTTAATCAGAGGCTGGATGGCCATCTGTGCGGGGTGCTTTGTATGCAATAGTCCTGCTTCTTGGCAGAATGGGGTTGGACCGGATGGCCCATGAGGTCTCTTCCAACTCTAGGATTCTATTGTTCTATGGATGTGCCTGTTGCATTTGACTCCCTATATGTAAAGCAGAGGTGGGCAAGGTGTGAATGCAGACCATACGTGACTCCTAGGAATCCCCTAGGACAGTGTTTCTCAATCTTCCTAATGCCTCAAACCCTTAATACAGTTCCTCATGTTGTGGTGATCTCCAGACATTTTTTTTTTGTGGCTACTTCATAACTGTCATTTTGCTCGTGTTAGGTGGCGGACATCCATCCAGTCGGTGAAAACAAGACCTGGGGCTGACTGTAGCTCAGATCACGAACTTCTTATTGCCCAATTTAGAATAAAACTAAAGAGATCAGGGAAAATACACAGACAAGTTAGATATGATCTCACTAACATTCCTAGCGAATATACAGTGGAAGTGAAGAACAGATTTGAAGGACTAGATTTAGTAAACAGAGTCCCAGAAGAACTATGGATAGAAGTCCGAGACATTGTTCAGGAGGCGGCAACAAAGTACGTCCCAAAGAAAAAGAAAACCAAGAAGGCAAAATGGTTGTCTGCTGAGACACTGGAAGTAGACCAAGAAAGGAGGAAAGCAAAAGGAAACAGGGATAAGGGGAGATATGCCCAGTTAAATGCGCAATTCCAGAGGTTAGCCAGAAGAGATAAGGAACTATTTTTAAATAAGCAATGCATGGAAGTGGAAGAAGACAACAGAATAGGAAGGACAAGAGACCTCTTCCAAAAAATTAGAAACATTGGATGTAAATTTCAGGCAAAAATTGGGATGATAAGAAACAAAGATGGCAGGGACCTAACAGAAGCTGAAGAGATCAAGAGAAGGTGGAGGGACTATACAGAAGATCTGTATAGGAAGGATAATAATATTGAGGATAGTTTTGACGGTGTGGTGAATGAATTAGAACCAGACATCCTGAGGAGTGAGGTTGAATGGGCCTTAAGAAGCACTGCTAACAACAAGGCAGCAGGAGACGACGGGATCCCAGCTGAACTGTTTAAAATCTTAAAAGATGATGCTGTCAAGGTGATGCATGCCATTTGCCAGCAAATATGGAAAACACAAGAATGGCCATCAGACTGGAAAAAATCAACTTATATCCCCATACCAAAAAAGGGAAATGCGAAAAACTGCTCAAACTTCCGTACAGTGGCCCTTATTTCTCATGCCAGTAAGGTAATGCTCAAGATCCTGCAAGGAAGACTCCAGCAATACATGGAGCGAGAGTTGCCAGATGTTCAAGCTAGGTTTAGAAAAGGTAGAGGAACGAGAGACCAAATTGCCAATATCCGCTGGATAATGGAGAAAGGCAGGGAGTTTCAGAAAAACATCTACTTCTGCTTCATTGACTATTCTAAAGCCTTTGACTGTGTGGATCATAATAAATTGTGGCAAGTTCTTAGTGGGATGGGCAT